TCATGTCCAAAATTATCAGATTAGTTAAACCCTAAGTAAAAAAAAGCACGGGTTTATTAATATAACTTTAAAACATCCATATATAGGTGCATTCAGACTACTTTGTTTTCAGCTCCTTCTTCAGCCGTCATCTGCATGACTCAAAACTGAGAAACCACTTAACAAAATCCAGATATCTTCATTTAGATTAATAGCACTTTTCAACACTCAAGCCACAAAGAAAGCCCTTAAAGTGAGTGAAAACTATACTGACATTGCCTTAAAAGCCTTTGTGCTCTCACACAGTTTTACAGAGTTTTACAGAACATAAATAAGAATCAGGGCCTCAGTCTCCAATTAGTGTCTGAATCCAGCCAACAAAGTTTATAATACATACATTAGCATGCCAGGTTAGCTGAAAAGAACTGGAACTGCTGCAGGTGTAATTGTTTGTTATTTGACATGACTTGCAGAATTATTCCATGGATTGTAAACCTTGATTTAGCCTACCTGGTATAAGTGATGTTTATCTCTGCAGAACATTTTGAGCCCAATCCACCTGAAGGGTTCAGTACCTCCTTCTCAGGAGTGAGTATCAATCAAAAAATGTTAGACTGGGGTTCTCGTCAGTTCGGGTTCCACTGTAAAGATGGACGAATGCAGCACTCACAGGCGGAACCTCCAATTATCTTTAAGTATAGCCTTCTCTACACTTGAACAAGTGGGGAAACACTGTATTTCTAATGTAACGAAAAACAAATTAGTTTTGAAATAGTAAATATTTACCTTTAAATGATGTGTCTCTTGGTTGGTATAAACAAAGTTATTACTTATGTATAGCTCTTTTAGGGAGTAAGTTTTCTTTAAACCAACTAAAGATGTGATTCTGTTGTTCTCAATGGAAATGTAATACGGATAAGACAGATTTTCAAACACATGTCTTTTGAGGCTGATAAGATGGTTATTATTTACACTATGTCTTGTAAGTTTGGTGAGCTTTGAAATTCCTTGAAAAATGAACAAGATGCACTTGGTATAAAGTGAGCTGTTATAGAAAAAGGTGGCTGATACAGAGGGTAAAACAAGTTACAAGTGACACAGTTTATGTTACAGGGTCTAACTGTAACTATATCAATGATCATTGGATCAATTAGATCATTAAACATAGATAAATATGCACATTTTAATAAGACATACTTATTTTGCTGGAACATAACTGTTCTGCCTCACTCCCTTTCTTCAGTTCTGCTAAAGATACACTCAGAATTTTTAATGTTTTAAAAACTCACTCTATTGGCAGCGAGTAAAAACTCACCCTCTATAATATTTCACTATAAAGAAACATTTCTACTGTGTCCCAGCTTAACAGCCTGCATTATCACGGCCACAGTAAATATAGTACCATCTAGTGTTGAAATGTAGTTTTCATCTAAAGTGAGTTCTTCGAGGTTAAGACAAGACTCTATTCCTTCTATTAGTGTGAGACTGTTGTTGCTAAATGATGCCCATCTTAAATGCTCCAATTTTTCCAAGTTAGAAATTTTGAAGAGTGTTGGTCATCCAGATTTAAGACAGTGATCTGTAATAAAAGACAGTATTAGAATTGAAAGAAACCGACCTGTCAATTAATCTGTAAATGAATTCCACCTATTTATTCTGTGCTCAGTTTCTATGTGTACATTTCCTACTAATATCAGTGGCAACTTCTTGGATGCAGGATGGGATATTTCCCCATTATGCAACAGAGCTACTCATCTTTAATACATTTCAAAAAAGTTCAGCTTCTCCTCCAAAAACAAGAACTCTACAACTTAAGTATGCCAGCTCCCAAATGTACCTCTGCAGTTGAAGCTATCTGAACATAGACATTTTTTTCTTGTCTGCATTAGATCTTAGTTTTGTTCAATTTAAATCCTTCTGCAATACATGATTATTTTATTGGCTAGTTTGCTTTACACATCCTCATTCTACAACAGGACTTTAATGGAAACAGGATTTCAGCCTAACACCAAGGCTGGATATTTAGTCTAGAAGAGGCTGAGTGCAAAGTCAGAGCAGAATTTGTCCTAACATAAGAGTTCTTCATGCTTTTTATATACAAACTAAGTACTCTTTTCTCTATGTCATAAATTAACAAATTCAGTAATTTTCTTGATTGAAATATTCTTGGACAGAAACAAATAAATGTCGATACCAAACATATATTTTGCTGCCCAGGTTGTGAAACCGCTTTCTTACACAGGATCTGACTTCAGACACCTGGCAGCAAGCTTCCTGTAAAGACAAGGCTGTCAGTGATCCTATCTATAATCTGTTTGCATGACTACGACTCCCCCTTTCCGATAAAACTACAGTATGTTAGCAAATCATTGTACAATGGAGAAAAGAAAAGATCACAGAGTCCCAATCAAAAAATTCAAATTGTGTTGTAGAGGCCCAAAATATCCAGTATTGTATCTAGGTTGTATCTAAGACAAATAATCACTTAAATATTCAGTACCATTAGACTGGCTTTGGTGATGACTAAAGAACATTTTTTGGCTATATTATTTCATTTTCCAAAAAGTATTTATCCTACCTTTTATGAATCCCTTCTCTCTGGTGTCACAAAACATATATGACATATGCTAAAGCATTAATTTTCCTGGCAATTTTTCTAAACATGAATTCCCTAATGCACACAGAATGAAACGCTACGCTTATCAGCAGAAATGTGTTTTCCTCTAGCTATTCTATATTCTAATAACAAATTGAACTGACAGAGGAGCTTTTAACCTTTCATACTGGGTAGATTAACATGATTTCAACTGATGGATCAGAACAGGTTAGGATGACCTTGGATCTTCCTCCACTGACTCTTGCGGCTTTCTGCTGGCTCGGTTTCCTAAGTAAACAAGGCTAATGTGATTGTGCTATCTGTATATCCATCTGCTAGCCTTACCACTAGTTTTTAAAAGCATTGGTGAGTTTTGGCCCAATTTGTCAGACAAGCACTACTCGACTTCCTACAAATGCCATGAAAATGAGCGGCTGGATGAGAGTTACAAACTGACGATCCCAGTGAAGGAAAGGCTGAAATATCGGCTCAGCTACAATGCCAGACACTAGAGGATCCAGGAGAGACCTGTTCTGAATGATCTGAGAAACTCTGAGAACTCACACCTGATTAGGCACTGGATAACCCAAAGACAAGGGTCTTTCTTAAGGCAAACCAATTTCCTTCAGTCCTGCTACTCATCAAGTGACTGCTTAATTAGTTTATAATTTTAGGTAGTCTTTCAAGGTGAGAGATAATGTTCAAAGAGTTATTCTCAATGTTTGCTGGTTTGAAATTAGACCTACTAGCTCTCTTCTTGCAATCTGTTTTTCATATTGATATTTAGTAGTACTCTGTGAAAGTTTTAATCTTGCCTGATCCCAAGAAATGGATTAGTAGAGAGAGTTCAATATGCATGTGGCAAAGCTCATTTGGCTTTAGACATGAAATATGCCTAAGCCTCTAAATTTTAGGGCAGGGTATATTTGAAGGGTCAGTATTAGAAAACTGTTGCTATAGGCATTAGAGAATTTATGTTTATAGAATTTACTAGGAGAACTAATGTTTCAACATGTTTCAACATTATACTTTTGTGACATCAGAAAAAAGTTGGGTTCAAAACTGGCAGAATAAATAAGCTAAGCACAGCTACTGAATTTTCTAATGAAAAATTCTCAAGGCCAATCTCTACTGATCAGGGAGAGAATGCAAAGGAGCTGGCTACAATTTCCTGAATCAGTCTGGTTCTCTCATTATCCTTGCCACCAGTGTCCTTGGTCTTTAAAAATTTGCTCAATATTCTTGAAGCTTCACTGACACTCTCCTTTGAAATACTTCCACAGCATTTGGAATTCCTGGAATCCTTAAAGGAAGCAAGTAGATTAAGGACTGTGTTGCCTTAGGAGGCAATTCTTTAAGAAAACAAGCAAGCGTATCTCATATAAGCACGTCCTTTATATAGCCTTGGTGTTTTAAAAAGGGCAATTTTCACATGCTGAAAGCAGTCATGAGTGAAATGAGTGACACAAAAACTTAAGCTAAAAAATGTGAAGGCTAGTTAGGAGAGGTTTAAAGATGCAGAAGGTTAAACACTAAACACTTCATTATTACACACGTCTTCATTTACAGTTTAAAAAATCTTCACCCTTTTAAGTTTACAGACTAAAGCAATATTCGTGAGCCCTACTGGATCAGGCCATGGCCCTTTTATTCCACTACAGCAGAATTGAATGAAAAATAGGAAAAATGATAGCAGTGAGAATAAAACAGTTGTTAGAAGCATGGATTACTGAAAATGAAAGCTAAAAATATCAATGAAAATTTGATGGCTAATATAATGAGAGATCATAATCAGGACTTAATGAAATTCAAGCAATGCTATAGGCTTGATCCTATCTAAGGATTTTAAAATAGTCAATCAGAATACAGAAGAGAAAGATAGTTTCAATGCGTATTTTTCTCTGCCTTTGGGAAGAACCATGATGAGATGCTCATCATTTACATGGATTAAAAAATACTTTGTATTTCATTAATAACTAAAAAGAATCTAAAACTGGAACTACTCATGTTAACATTTTTAAAGCAGGCATTTTTCAATCAAGAATATTAATGAACCAGTTGAAGAACTTTCTGAGCCACTCATCAATTCATTTTATACAAATGATAGTATGCTTGGGATGTTCTAGAAGGTTATGAACAAACTGAAGTTGTAATAGTATTGAGGATAAATAGGATGAGCAGAATAGGTCAGTTAGCTTGATATCATCCTTAAGTATCACAGAAAGGCTGATATGCAGCACAGTAAATAATTACAAGTTAATGGCCTTATTAATAGATGCCAGTGTGGTGCATAGGAAACAAAAATTAATATTAAATTGCTTTTGATGAAAATTTACATGTATTGATAAGATTAAAACTTCTGTCTGAGAATGCAATACAAAAATAATGATATCCAAAAGTGAAGGCAACTCTTGTTAAATAGACAAAAACTGGTTAGAGGATGGATCTCAAAATCTAACTATAGAAAGAAAATCGTCACTTTACAAAGGATTTTTATTGATGTTCTGCTCAAAATTCTTTTTCTCCTAGCAAAAAAGAACAGGAGTCCATTCCTGGTAAATTAGGAGATGACATAAAGATGTTAGCAAGGTCAGCTATAAACAACAGTTTTATAATGACTAACATGGTGGCCCTATTTAAAAAGCATGTTTCTGCATAGAACAAATTGTAATTTATGTAGCTAGGAACAGAGACACTCACACTCACATGGTGAAAGACAATGTCTTAGGAACACTGAAAAAGACTACAACTAATGATTGAAAACCAGATGAATATGAGCTTGCACTGTTGCCACAAGGACACACATGTCAGTTAATATTTAATCATTGGACTAGTGAGTAGGATTAGGCAAAGGTAACTATTTTTGGGTATGACATTTATCAGTCCAGTGCTGGAAGTTTCTGTATAGTTTTGTAGGAGGCCATACATAAAAACCATGTGGACATAATGAAACATGTTCAGAAAGGAACTAGAATAATGTTACAAGAAATAAAAAAACACTTTATAATGAGACGCTTAAGAAGTCTCACCTAACTTAGTTTCTTTAAGATAAGATAAAGTGGGATGATTTTGGCTAAATAAGGAAAAGACTTCTGGTCCTTTAGAACATCTGGTTTCACCAGAAAGAGACAAAATGAGACCCAGTGGATTAAATTTGATAGTGGCCAATATGTATTAGAAACAAGATAGACATGACAGAGAGATAGGAGAGGTAGATTCACTGTTACTTGAAATCTTTAAACGAACGCTAAGAGTGGGTTTCATACCAGCAAACAACATCAGCAAGAGAGATATCTCCGGCTGTGGTGGCTGGTTGGGCTCTCTGGTAGGATGCAATTCACTTCAACGTACAATAACCCTCTAAATTGTTAGGTGACTTATGTCCCCAAACTATTTTTGTGTCTGCACTGTCTATAAAAGGAATGTAGGGTGACTATTTCAAATGTGGTTATCTACAGTGTAGATAAGCAAAGTTAGGTGAAATTAATCCTAATCTGAATGGTTTACTGTAAAATCTGCTGTAGCTCAAAGAGATGGTATGAAATTGATGTAGAAATTACCACATAATGCTTTCTTGCCCACTTATGCATAAAGTCAGTCTAGAGAATCTTATTAGTACCCCTTCGTCTTAAAAGTCTAGCAATGCTTAAAAGACAGTTGCGCTGCAAAATAAGTAACTTAAATGCCCTCTTCAGGGTATCCTGGACCTCCTGCGAGGCATCTGGAAATGGCCATTCTCACAGCTCAGGGACAAGGTAACTATTGGTTAGACTTGAATGTGTTCAGAAATATTTTTTAACTGAAAAGCATAAAACCTTTAACCTAAAACAACAAAAGAAAACTTTTACAGAGATTAATCTAAATGTTAACCTAAATACATTAAACAGCATCAGCTCTACCATTGAATACCAGTTATTACAATGCATCTGCGAATCCACCTTGTTCTTCAAAATTTGAGACAAAATTTTAGCGTAAGGAAATAAACTGAGAATGACAGTTGTTTCTTCATCAGTCCTAGAATATTCTAACAGAGACACCTGAGGAAAAAAAAAAGAAAATACTGTATTAAGTATATAATATAACTAGATATACTATACATACTTCACAGCTTAGCATATAGTAAAAGGCATAAAAATCCTACTATTCTTGGAAGGGGAAGGTGATATATCAATAGACATAATAATTCATAGATCTAATAAGTTTAATAGTTTGCAAGACTTCCACAGATCTTGCACATATCCAGTTTTTAGAGTTTTCAGTACATAAAACAGAGAAGGTAGACCTCATTAAAATGCTCTGTATTAGCTATAGTCTGTTTTCTGTGAAGATATTTATCCATTTTTTGCAGAAAGACATGATCTTACTCAGCATTGAGCAGACATAGTTTCATCGTGACTGTGCTGTGACCATATAGGAGTTGTGTTAGCATGATAGTGAGTTCCAACCTATTCAGCCCATTGAGTGTGTTAGCTTAGAATCAGCGTAGGATTCAGGAGTGCTTTGGGATATAGTCCAGAGCTTAAGTAGAACAAGTTTGTGCTCAGGGGCTGGGAAGGATTGTTTCATACCTTCATATAAAATACTCTGAAAGATTACCTACTGAAAAGACCTTAAGACAAGGGATTTGGCACTAGATACTTAAAAAAGCATGTAGAACTATTGGTTTATCCTGTTACTTTCCTCTCCATTGTTTCTATTTGGCAAACATAGTTACTTTCTTGCATTCTGAATTCAGCAGAACTTGAACGTGACTGTTTCCAAGATCATGCTAGAATATAATTTTTGGTACCAGCAAAGATCTTTGTAAGATTGGTGTTGGTTAAATAATTTCTGATCTACTGCCAGAGGCAAGGACAAAACTTCTACCTTCACAAAAAACAGAAAACAAAATGTTCTTTAAAAAAACAGGTGCAGAACTGTTCCTAAAGCTTTCCTTTTCCATAGCACTCGCTATAAGTTACAACAAAGCAGAATATCAAACCTGGGCCATCTTTGATCCTGCAATATATTGTAATGATTTTGCAGCTTCTTCATTAGAAAACAGGACTCCATCTAGGTTAGTGAGAGCCTTTAATTGGCCAATGACACTCAGCTGCAATGAGGCAGGCTTGAAGAAAGGAATAAAGTGTTATATTTTTTTTTAAATTGCCAATATAGTTTACATACAAGAAAGAGACTTGAATTTCCTTTCTGTTTAGTGTACTGTCATCTCATGGATGCCAAGAGCTAGAGCTTTGCTATGATCTTCAACAGAGCCACTGTGTCATCCCTGCTTACGTAGTTTGCTAGAAACACATGAGACAAGGTACCTTTGGGCCAGTTTTGATTGTCCTGATTTTATGTGACATTGATGGTAATAAACTGCTCTGGAGTCACATGGGCCAACTCAGAAGTTTACTGACCTTACGAAGCTCACTAATATATAAGATGTAGTGGTATTTGTTTTTATAATCTAGAAGTTTCATTTATGACCTAGAAATATTACAAAAACCAAAGAAAGCTTCATAGGACACGTGTGAAATGTTTAAAGGATTTAGAGTTGTCACCAAAACCTCAAGACATCACCACAAACTTATCCTATACATACAGAATATGTTAGACTGCCCGCTAGTTTAAAATATAATACATGAAATACACACTTCTCACATAATGAATAATAATGTCTTTGTTTGTGAATGGATTATAGATGTATTTTGACAGCCAAATAAGCCAAATGCAATCACTTATGAGCTAGGTGGTAGAACATCCTGTGAGAGGCAGTAAGGATTTTCTGCTTTGCTCTGAACTGTAGTAACTAGACATTGTGGTTGGATGCCTAAGAAACTCTGGAGAGGCACAGGTTTAGTGATGTGTACTACTCAAGAGTTACCATGTTGACACAGAGCTGATGGCAAAGAGCACAGCAAAATTAAAAATTTAATCTGATAAAAACTTAAGTAATAACAACAAAGAACCAGAGACCGGAACCGGTAGCTCATATTATTTCTTTTTATATCTTAGCATGTATTGAAAAGATTCATTGAAGCTTAATTGACAGGCCAAATAGACAAGGCAGCATCTTTTTGGATGCTTCCTGGGTGCCTCAATGGAGTTCTGTTTCCTGTGTTGGTTTGTTGTTCAAATCATTTAAGAGAGGTATTCTATTCAGACAGCGCTCTGTTTGCCTGACTTTGACTTGTACAAAATATTAAACTCAGTGTTAAATGATAATTAAAAAAGCTTTTTTAAGAGTCTTTTAATGCCTCAAATTCGTAAGGTTTAACTCTGCTGATTCTGACTGAGCCCTTTAAATATTGTTAAAATGTACTGATTCAAAGGGAATAAAGAACAGAGAGAAACATTTGTTGCAGAAGCTGGTTGGGCAATAGGAATGAATGAGAGTCAGTAAAAGGGCCGAGTATTGGCTTTCTCGCCAAAGCTCCAGCCAACACAGCTGTGCTGCTGCAGACAGATACATGCAGTAACAGACAGGCTAACAGTGTATACGCACATCCCCAAGGCTAGGAACTGTCTCTGCTCCCACCCCTTACTCTGTGCAGCTGAAACAGCAAAATTAAAGCCAGGGCTTGGTTTTTGATATCGGGCACAGGCCACCAATAAATTTAATTCTCAAGGGAAGCAAAAAAGAAAGGAATTATGCCTCAGAGATGTCTCTGAGCAAAAATGCCACACAGTTTATTCACTTGGTTAGGCTGTGACTACAAAAAGAAGTGAAGGCCCTGTGAGAACAAAGATGCCATAACATGATCATAAGGCTTCTTACATTGCAAGGGCCTTAGAATTAATAAGGTGCAGGACCAGATTTTAAGCCTTTATAACTGTGGTCATAGTCAGAATGCTTTCCCAGGAATTTCAAGCGCTGATATGTACCTTATGCCATGGGTTGTGTGTGATGTTAAGAATAAGTTGGGATTGGTTTTATGTAAGACGTTTATATCTTCCCTGGACTTTTTCAGCTGGTTCCAGCTCAGGTTGAAGAACTGCAGTTTGCGTAAGCCTCTAATGCCCTCAGGTGTTATCACATGGTTATGGCTTGCATCAAAATATTCCCGTTTGGGCTGCAAGAGAATAGTTGTATGGCCAAAAGTGCCGCAAAGGAAACTTTGGTTAAAGTAATCAGACACATTTAATCTTTAAATAGACTTAATTGGATCCAGTGCCTGGGATTCCCCTTGCTTAGTATTGGTTCTGTTGAGGGAGACCTAGTGTGCTCCAGACATGTTACTCTATTTGTTAAAATGAAATGACCATTATAAAGGTCAGATGGGTGATAAAGTGGTATCACTGTAATATTGCAATTCAAATTGGAGCCAATATCAACAGGCACCAAAACTGTGGGCTGCTAATAGTATCACAGTATTCATGATTCTAGTTTAGTTCCCCATTCTGTTCCCCTCTGTGCATCCTGGCCCAATCCTGTCTTGTGAGCACACCCCACAATGCAAGAATATTTATGCTAGTAAATGTTCCTTAAAAAAAAAAAAAAGAATTACAGCTTAATTTCTCACTAGGTCATAAATTTTTAAGGAAGCAAATTCATTAAAACTGATGATAAGCTTTTGAAGTGTTTTTAAGTCTAGAAATGTCCTGCAGCTTGCTCAGGCTGTTCCCATTCGAATTCAAAACCTAGGCCAAAAGTAGGTCAGAAATGACAATTTTACCAGACACGCAGCCAATACTCCATGGCTGCCTTTAAAATGAAAAAGCTTCAACTGATGGAGTGCAAATACAAATACTATCCTACTGGTAAACCATAAAAAGACCGTAAAAAGTGAATCCAAACTAACATGAAATAGTGAAAAGACAATAAAGGCTATGATGACTCTTTTTCACTTATTTAAAGACTATTTATTCTCTAACTTCTCCCTGAAATAAACATGACCTGGGTAAGATGGTGAGTCAGACAGTCAATCAGTTCACAGTGAAGGGAACAGATGCTGCCAACACTAAGGAACTGGCAACTCTTCCATTATGAGAGAGCAGTATGGGAAGAGTGGAGCTGAGCAGGGACAGGCAACAGATCCTTAGGAAAAGGCAAAGTGAGATGAGAATTGCTAGTATTTCACTGCAAACACAGATCACTGGAAAGATGGCACTTTGGTAAAATAAGAGAATTGTTATTCTCCTCTTTCTTATCATTGCCTCTAAATAAGCTTTAGAAAAGAGAAAGTTTATTTGAAACTAAAAAAATGGGATTGAAAACATAACCATCAAGTATAAGAAATAACACCATCTCATCACTGGAAGGATGGCACTTTGGTAAAATAAGAAAAGAATTGTTATTCTTCTCTTTCTTATCATTGCCTCTAAATAAGCTTTAGAAAAGAGAAAGTTTATTTGAAACTGTAAAAAAATGGGATTGAAAACATAACCATCAAGTATAAGAAATAACACCATCTCACAAACTAGAGTTAAAAATGGGACAGTTCAGAAACTATTTCACCATTTCATGTATCAGATATTTAGCAGGGCTACTTCATCAGAAAAGGTGGCTACTGCAGGTGCTACACAATAGTTATGCATATGAATGCAATGTTAGAATCATGCACATAAACGTCCACCTGAAGAGGTGTTTTTCTGTGCAGCTATTACAACAATATTTTTTTCTGAAGCTAAAATCTGTAGCCTGTTCCAGTTTTGATGTGTTTTTTTTCCCTAGGCTACATTCTTGTGATGTCAAATCTGACAAAAAAAAGTATTTTCAAGAACAACTGGCATAATGGCATGAAGTCATGTATTTCACAAAATTCAAAGGAAAGGCTGATAGTTTAGTTCGTGTCCTATTCTCAGATGCATTCTTCTTGAACTGTTTTCCAGTGAAATTACTTGTCCTTTACACAATAGGAAATGCAATTAGGATTCAGCCCAATAATTGAAATTCACATTGCATAATAATTGATAGGCAGAGGAACACAAGTTCTAGTGATGCTAAGTAAATGTAAGCAACATTAGAATCAAGCCCAAATGGAAATGTTAATTTTTAACTTTTGTGTTTGGTCATGGGCCAACCTGAATAACAAAGTAACAATTACATAATACATTTATTCTACTGAAAATTTGACAGCAATACCTCACCTGTACCTGACTAAATATTGGCCTTAGCCACTGAAAATTTTTCATTTAAGCAAGCAATCTGAGGCTTGACATTTATTAGGTTTTTTTCGTTTAAGCAAGCAATCTGAGGCTTGACATTTACTGTCAGTTCCATGTTCAAAGCTTCATCATCATGTTGCAAATCATGAGACAGAATAAATCTTTCTGTGCTTCTCTTTCCCTCTTCCACAATTATATTGCATGTAGAAAACAGACACTTGTTTCTGAGCTATATAAAATAAAAGGCATTTGAAATTTGTAAACTTTCTAATTTTTAATTAAATAAATTTAATACTGAGCATAAAATGAGAGAAGTTCGATTAGGAAATTAGTAGCAATCAAGTCAGGAAATCATCTTTCTGTAACACAGATCTGCTAGATACTGGGTTTCATTGCCTCATAATCAAAGCATTGCATAATGTTTTTGCTTGTATGGGTTGTTGTGTGCCATACACAACTCTGGCTAGAGTCAAAAGAAGAACACCTATGCACTGAAATTCTCAAAGTCCAAGAATCACAGTAGAGCAGCCTTACACTGAACCATGGGACCAGGCAGACCTGACTCATCAGTGAATTCAACTCTCTTCCTCCTTCCCCCAGCGCTGAACATCCCAATTCCCCATACTCTCTTGTTTCTAACAGACAGAGTAACTCAGAATCTGAAATGAGCCCTTCTACCTTGGCAGCAAGTTACGAAGTTAGATGAGTGAAACAGCAGCATTATATGCTTGTAAAATGAATAGAAGGAATCAAGGAAAAACTTGTTCAGAATACCAGCTGAGAAGAAAAAATATATATATTTTTTTTTTTTTTCCCCCAAACCAGCTCATCTCAAAATTTAAATCAACCAACTCCCAAAACACCTCATCTCACGATTTAAATGAAACAACTAAAGGCCATTTGCTCCTGCAAGACCCCATGAAAAAAAGAGCCTTTGCACAGTCAGTAAGGTAAGTTTTACTTTGAATGGTACCCCAGAGAAAGTAATTCTTAGTGAGAGAGGACTTAGTTTTTAGCTGCATTTCATTTAATCTGCTGAAACTTAGAGGATCTTTGCTTTCTTTGCTATGCTTTTTACAAGTACAAAATAAGAGCCTCATCTAAATCTCCCTACGATGAGTGGAAAGTTTCTCACTGACTTCCACAGAAGTTTTATCTGGCTCTGACAGAATGGACAGAAGAGAATCAACCTTAAACCTGGGCTTGTCAGGTATGTTAGTAGGACAGAATTTAATTTTACCTACTTGTTTTTTTTCTCTTGATCTATGAAATCCAAAGCTTGCCTTCTAATATCACAGTAGGAAAAACAAAGTTCATACCAGCGTAACGTGCTCAAACTCAGCAATGTATTCTGGCAGGACCAGTTCATGGTCAAACACAAACCACTCACAATGCCAATAGCTGTAGTCACAATTTCTCTGTTCCAAGGAAGCCCACATTTCTAAAGCGGAGGAAACAGGGTAAATATGTTATTGTTTTTTAGCTAAGTTTGGTATTAATTTCAGAATGTTAATGAGTCAAAGGTATCTACTTCCATGAAGATGCATCAGTTTTAATCCTTTCTGCCATTAGACTTCCTTTGCCATACAGACTCACACAGGCTAATAAAGGAGTTGAACCTGGCTATCTAATACCCCATGTAGAATAAGCAACTGTCAGATTCCAGCATGAAGATCGCAGCCTGTCAAAGACTAGCTTAGATCCTGAGAGCATGGACAGCTCTCCTGCAGTGCTTTCATTGCTGCACTGTCCAAAACTACTCCATCATATTATGGTGTAATCACCTTCCAAGTTAGCTTTCATTTCCTCCCTTCTAAGAAACCAGAAACAATCCCAGTTCCTTTATAAAGAAACAGGTGTTGCTCCCTGTTAGCATCTGAAAGTTTGGACCATATGTCAGAGTGAACAGGTAAAATTATTACTCAATTCCCACACTGTTCTCTTGCAAAGAAGTAGGGTAAAGCAGAATCTATCACTAGAGGATACATATGATACAGAGATTTAATCTGATTACTTAGCGTATTTCTCAGCAGCACTCATTTTTATTTTGCTTACAGATAAAGGCTGTGGATTTTAAGGGTGAAGATTTCCTCTGTGGCATATACATATTGCCCTTTGCAACACTCACTCAATCCTGCTGTACAAAGAGTGGGTATGAAACTGCATGAAGTAAGCTACTTTTAGTGTGGACTGATGGCTAAAAGCAGTGTGGCACAGCTCACTTTCACTCTGTGAACTAAACAAGCACAAATAGTTTTTCAAAGAGGAATCTTCTTGCTTGTTATTACCTTTGAAAACATGCACTTCAGCTGAGCAGAGGCTGTGTTCTGAGGAATGAAACCTCTTGACACAACCCAAAGTCAAAGATGAGTTTAGAAAACAAATGTTAATTTAACCTTAACTTTATGCTAACAAGTGCCTACAAATACATACCGTTGCCAGAAGTAGATGCATCACTTTCTAGACATTTCCATGGCCTGAATACTGAATTAGCTTCTGGGTAGTTGACTTGATAGATGGAATTCATTGCACAAGCTGGAGCACTGCGGCCAAGGAAAACTTTTGCAATTATTGCTTTCCCTAAGTGAGGGAGAAAAGACACTTAATGCTTCTAATTCTAGCTTGGGGGTGCAGACAGGATGATACAACAGTGGTGCTTAATGTAATAACAAGCAGGCTACATCTAGGGCTGGCAAATGAATGCTCTAATATGTATGTGGTGAATGGAGTTAAATCCAGCTGGCGGCCAGTCACGAGCGGTGTTCCCCAGGGCTCAGTACTGGGGCCGGTCTTGTTCAATACCTTTATCAATGATCTGGATGAGGGGATCGAGTGCACCCTCAGTAAGTTTGCAGATGACACCAAGTTGGGCGGGAGTGTTGATCTGCTCGAGGGTAGGAAGGCTCTGCAGAGGGACCTGGACAGGCTGGATTGATGGGCCGAGGCCAACTGTATGAGGTTCAACAAGGCCAAGTGCCGAGTCCTGCACTTGGGTCACAACAACCCCATGCAACGCTACAGGCTTGGGGAAGAGTGGCTGGAAAGCTGCC